ATCTATTTAAAAATTCTCAAAAAAAAGCCAAAAAAAGTCTTAATGATAACTGTCAGCCATCTTTATCAAAACCTGAAAATCGGCAAAGGTGTCAAAAGCCTTAAATAGGTTTCTGAAGGTGTAAAAGGATTGCAAAAAAAAGGGGAAAGTCACTCTGTAGACGCCACCCTCCCCCCCCCCCCCCCCCTCGTTGGGGGGTGGAGATCACTTTTGTCCTTATGGGAGCAAGCTGATAGGCTCCCTCGTCCCAGTTCATAGTAGGACGAACCAGAGAAAAATGGCCAGATCCCGTTTCTAGACACCCTTATTACCAGGAGGGAGGACGAATCCATCAAACTACTGGTTTACAGGAAAGCCACACACACAGACCAGTACGTGTCGTTTCAATCGCATCATCCGCTTCAGCACAAAGTTGCTGTCATACACGTTATTGGAAAGGAGTGACAGCACTGTCACGGAAGAAGAAGACCGTACACAAGAGGAAGAGCACATAAGAACAGCCCTCCATACATGTGGTTACCCGGATTGGGCGATTAAGAGGGTGAAATAGCAAATGAACAGGAAGAAAGCTATTAGAAAAGATAAATCCAAGAAAGATAAAGCACAAGAAAAATCAGGAGGAGTGGTGACTGTCCCTTATGTCCACTCATTCACAAAGAAAATACAACATATATTCACTAAACACAGGGTAGCCACAGTGGTTAAACCTCAAACCACCCTCAGACAGGTTTTAGTTCACCCGAAGGACAAAGTTGATAAGCAAAAAAAGGCTGGAGTGGTGTACAAAATTCCCTGCAACCAATCTGAAAAGACTGAAATTCTATACTTTTCACCAACTCAAAGTTGTTCAAGATTGGGTACAGGACAGACAACTTGTGCTCTTTTTGCAAAAGGGAATCAGAAACAATTAGACATTTCTTTTGGGACTGCCCTTATTTGAATTCATTCTGGAAATGTGTTGAATCATGTTATTTTGGGTTGCGAAAACAACTAGTTCACCTAACATTAAAGGAAATTTGGATCGGCTTTTTATCTTCTGAATGCCCCTTGCTTCATTATCTTATACTTATAGGGAAAATATATTTATGGAGTTGCAGAAGGAATGAAGTACTCCCAACCATAAACAGTTTTATAGTTAGAATAAACGGTAAATATGAAATAGAAAAATATATTTGTACTAAGAATAAGAATTTACAAAAATTAATGGACGAATGGACTTTGTAATCTAGTTAGTTTTTCTTCTTTTACAAAAATGATTAGTTTGTTCTTTTTTGAATAGCACTTGTAAAATAACAGTAGGCATACCTTGTGTGGTGATTGTGGAATTGCACGTGTGCTTAGGTGTGTAGTCCGTTTGTGCATGTATGCTTTGTGATAATAATTGTAATAGTACTTTCAAATAACAAATGAAATAAGTAATTAAAAAAATCTGAAAAGGTAGGCATCGGTGAAACAGGAAGACAACTGGGAACCAGGATCACAGAACACAGAAAGGAAACAGAAAGATCTCTGACAGGAATTTCACAAGATCCACGCGCAGAGCTTCTACCAATGAGCACCATAAATCAGCCATAACAGACCACGTCTGTCAGAACAATCATATTATGAATGGGAAGCAAGTGAAATAGTTGAGCAGGAAAGCGACAAGTTTAAGAGATGGATCAAGGAAAGCATATGTATTAGATCGAACACTCCTTCTATGAACGGGGACGAGGGAGCCTATCAGCTTTCTCCCATATGGACACAAGTGATCTCCACCCCCCAACCCGGGAGGGGGGGGAGGGTGGCGTCTACAGAGTGACTTTGCACGTTTATTGCAATAATAAACACTTTCAGAGGCCTATTTTTAAAAGGCTTCTGACACCTTTGACGATTTTCAAGTTTGGATAAAGATGGCTGACAGTCATCGAAACTGTCAGCATCATTAAGACTTTTCTTGGCTGTGAGTTGAGAACATTTAAATAGATATTAACTTTACTAGCCTGATGAATTTCTTCAAGAACAATACTCTAAATTCACTTTGTTTTAATCTTTTATCAACAAAAAAGTGGACCTATGGAACCTGTGGGGGTGGGGTGCAAGCACACCCGTCGCGCCCCCCTCCCTACGGGCCTGGATTGACTTCGCCGCTAAAGTTTAGTGATGAGGTTAGGCAGGAGCTTGTAAGTCATGGGCTCCTAGGTTAGGAAACTTCAGGTCAGTTCCTGGGTCAGGTTTCCTAGCACAATGACCCTAAATGGAACCTGATTCACTCAGTTTCCTAACCCTAATCACTAAACTTCTGCGGCGTAGTACATTTAATTTTAGGGTAGTCCATATAAGTCATGAACTAGAAGGTTTGTGTCGTTTGTGTTGTTTTTCTCTATTTTCAGCTGTCTTGTTATGGACATATAGCTTTTCGGAAGTTTACCCTATCATCATTTGTCGTGTCGAGAATTCAACGTTCAAAAATTTCGAGGTCTTCGAGAAATTTTGTGCGAATTTAGTTCCATATAATAACATATTATTAGGGCTGTCAAAAAGTTTTGAAGTAGTAGGCTGATAATGAATAGTAGGCAGCTTTGGAACTCGCGCCAAAGGCACAAGTTCTTGAGGGCCGAGGCATTTAGGGACACTTTGAAATTTAGAGTCTCGGAAATGGCATTTCTAGGGGGTTTTAGGGACAGGCCTTTTGATGACTTTCGTTCGCAATCCCCCCCCCCCCCCCCCCCCCCCCCCCCCCCCCCCATTTACATGTGTGGTCCTCGGAATGGCCTTTTGTGGGGGTTTTTCGGGCAGGCCCTTTTATTCACTTCCTTCCCCATCCCCCCCCCCCCTCCCCCGCCTCCCACCCAATGTCTTCATTTTCCAAGCAAATTTGGTTTTTGAGTGGTCCCCCGTCTAAATCCCTCCAAGGTTTTCAGTGATCTCCTCTTACGACTTATACCCCCTTTTGTTCTCCCCAAAATCAAGTGATTCCCCCTAAAATCCTCTGCCCCAGCCCAGGCGATAAATAATGACCAGTCCCTTAAGAGGTATTTTTCCACTGTGGACACCATGTTGTCTGTCTCGCTGGAAGGCTTTTGAAGGGAATGTTCAGTGTCTGTGAACTTCTCCTGGCTCGCCCACCTATTTCTCCTCGCTTAATGAACTGGGAGAAAGGTACTCCGGCACGCTGGGAGTAAGACATTTAAAGACCATGATAGCGTTCCTAAACTAGACAAAAAATATTGCTAGATTTAAACTTAAATTTTCTTTTCAAATAGGTACTACAACTGATAAAGGAACTGAAACAAAAGCAAATGAGAGAAGAGGATGCAGCTGTGGCAGCAAAATAAAGTCAAGAGAGAAACTGACATGCGCAGTAAACTCTTGGGGCCAAACGTCGAGGTGTCCTTGTGTGAACAGCGGGCAAAAATGTTCATTGGATCGATGTAAGTGTAGAAACTGTGGAAACATAACAAGCAACAAGTCAAAACAACTTAAGACGCGGTGTAGATGTGGAGAACGCAAAAAACTTAAAAGTTCCAAAGTTGAATCGTGCACAGACGTGCAAGGCAGGAATAGAACAAAGTGTCCTTGTTTTGTGAACGGCCTCGGCTGTAAAATTTGTCACTGCTACAACTGCAAAAACATCTATGGAGAAAAAGAGTCCAGCTTAGAAAAAAATAAAGACTTTTTTTGTTTTGTTTTGTTTTGTTTTGTTTTTTTTTAAATGTCTTACAAAGTTAATTTTCACATAGTATGATCAGCTTTGCAGAATTCAGTAAGTCAGAATACACTCAAGACTGGGAACAATGCCGTCATAATATGCCAGTCGTTCCACGACATGGCACGGTTCGCGCTTCGAGCACATGATATTTCTTGGCCAATGAGCTTTGGTTATTACATCATCATTGGCATACAGCGGGAACTTCGTATTCGAATTTTCTTTCCTATTCAGTGACATTCAGCTGGTTAGATTTCCTGAAATGTCGTCTGTTTTGTCCAAAGTTACAGGTAATGGCCAGGATGCTGCTAATCTCTGTGTGGTCATCGGAATTTCAAAAGCTGACTGTAGTGGCAGTGTTATTTATGCCCTGAAAAGAAACAACGACGACAGCTTTGAAGGTGATCCATTTCAGCTTCGTGAGGAGAACGGTCTCTACATATGGCCGAACGAGAAAATTGCCGAAAACAGAATATCTTTCGGATCCATTTTGAGGTGTCAGAAGTTCGGCAATATCTCTACCTACGTTGGAAACACTGAAAGGTGTAAAATGGTGGGTTTGATTCATGATCGATGAGTTGAGCAAATATATATGTCCCTACAGAAATCCAAGCCTGAGAAAACAGCCCGACATTTGGCGACGCTACCACTGGTTTGGGGTTTATACTGGTATCATTCAAACAACAACATCGCTGGAAGTCAATTTCAGTACCCCACAAACAAAATTTGTGGGGTACTGAAATTGACTTAAAATCATGAATGTCTTTGATTAGCCGTTGATTTTAACCTCGTTTACTGGTATTTTAATTCTGCTCTTGGACTTTTGTTTTCCCTTTACATCAGCCATGCATTTGGCACACAATCTAGCAAATTGAATTAGCTCCTTCTAAGTTAAGGCACTCTTTCTAACAAAAAAGGAATGAAAATATTGGAAGAAATAGGAGGGCATATGTTATTTTTAAAAGTGAATTTTCGAATTGAAGACCAGGAGGCAATTCAACACCTTTAAATTTTCCAATTTTGCAGAACGTCGAACAAATACAATTGGAACTTGCTTATGGGGAGAATGTTTACAGAAGCATAAAGGAAGTGTGTCCCAATGCTGTATCAGGAAAGCAAAAAGGACTCTACTTGCAAACAAAACCAGATAAGCCTAAGATTATTCTGGTCAGCCTGAAGTCTGGCATCATTAAAAATGAAAGAATCTACTTTCATACGAAAGGAGATGACCATCAAATAGATTTAAAGCTTAACTGCAGAGAGCACTTGACGCTCTCCACTACTCCTGTCACTCTGCAAACTAGAAAGGTAACCGACGAGGAGGATGTTGGAGACCTTGTGCTTATAAAGTTTGGCACAACAGATGTATCTCTGAGATGTCCAATTTATTCAGCTGTCTGTGAGGGCTTGATCCTCAGTAAGTTTTTGAACTGTTAGTATTAAATATGTAGACTGTTATATTTAAGTAATACTAATTCTTAAGAAACAGTATATGTAAGCTGATAAATGAAAACATGTGTATGAGATACTCTGATAACGTTTCAAAAGAGCTTGCTGAAATAAGCTTAAGGGAGACACACAGATGTTTTGTCTCACTCAGTCTCACAAATTTATAGAATATTTTAATTAATAATAAATGAAAGAGAACACAGTCCACTATCTTTAAATGGGCACTTCACCTTTATAAAAGAGACATATAGAGATGGTCCCCGCCTAATCTTATTATTTCTCTTTTCCCTGTATTCCTGACTCTCCATTAAAGACAGACATCACTCTTAGGTGGACATTTTAAGTGCAGGTCCCAAAAGGTGTCCATCTTAAAGAGAGTTGAATGTATTATGTATGAATAAAAGGAACCAGTACTTTTGACAAAAAGCTACATGTAGGATCAAGGAACTTCCTATACATTATGAGAAAAGGTAGGGCTGGAAACAAAATGTGAATTCCAGCTTGTCCTTTTTGGCAAGCAGGTCACAGATTTTGCTTCCCTGGGCCACTTCTTGCTTGCCTTAGTCAATGATTTTGTTAGAGGACAGTAAGGTGAAAAATTTACTTGCCCAGCAAGAAATTTACTTTTACTGGACTACCGGATGGGACTTTCCTCAAGTCCTGAAAGGTGACTTTACAAGATAACAATATAATACAATATTATTATCAGTGGAAGCAGCCCAGTGTTTTGTGGTTTACATTATTCCTAATGGTCTATTAAAAAACAGAGGATATATTTCTAACAAAAGGAGACAGGATCTTGGTACGGCCTTCTTCTTCTGAACTGTTTTGTTCCATTGTGTATTTTTAACAAGCGTTATTACCCCTTTTATTCAGAATTCAGGCCACAAGTGATATCAATTGATGAGGAACCGGTGGAGATAAGGAATGGAGATGGAAAGTGTGTCCTTGTGAAGAAAGTCAAGTTTGACACAGGCAATGATGGAGGCACGGCCATATCCAGTGATTTTGTCCAACAGCTTGGCCTGGAGCCGGATAGAAGTAAAAAGTTCTGCATGGTTGGAATTGGAGGTCCCGTGGAGTGCTTCAGAGTAAAGATCTCTCTTTACATTCGAAAACATCATTTCAAAGTTAATGCCTTAGTGGGTGCTGTTACCCCTGGGACAGATCTTTTGGTAGGAAACGATATCATGGAAAAACTTGATAAAGAAAACTATACTATCGGACAGTAAAATAAGTTTAAGCTTTTTTGAACGATTGAGTCTTGGTTAAACCCTTTAAAGGGGCAGTTATGGTCTTTGTAACAGGCCTAGGTTGTTACAATTGTGTTGATGGGCAAACACCACCAGAATCTTTAATTTGCCTGATACAAAAAGGCTACTCTGACTGGGAGTAAATCTGGCTATTGTCTGCGTAACTATGGGGTTCAAAGTACTTGTCACTAACACTACCTCTAGTCTTTCAATAATCTCATTTTACACTTCTTATGCAGGAAAAACAGCAGACACCAGCCTTACATGTTTTTACTCCTAAAACTATTTTACTCAGCCCAATAGAGAGGTTTCAGTAACTTGCTGCTGTACTACAGTATGTTTTAGTCTTATTAATCTATTTTAGCAGGTCGGCTGTTAGTAAATCTACTCTCATGTCCTTGAAAACTGTATCAGTAGAATCTGGAAAACATATGTAGTAAATTTCCTGTCACAGTGTTTATGATAACTCACAGCTTCTCAGTGGAAAGACTAACTGCAGTATTGATAAGTGTTCCAGTCCATTAACTAAAGGTAGATTATTGTGTATTTGGTAGGTTTAATATGTTTTGTTAGCAGTAATCGTTAAAACATAAAATTAAAACTAAAAAATGTTATTTAGTATTTTAGAGAATATGTAAATGATATTAATTATATGTGCAGATTTTTTTTCAGTGACCTTTGCAGCAAAAAAATGTAATACCCTGATGAGCATTATTAAAAACAACAAAAGCTGAGTAAAAAAACAGAGGTAAACTTTAAAAAGCTCCGTTCCTGTAGGCTGAACAGTTTTCAAAAACCCAAATGGCAATCTGCTTTAATCTCCTCTAATTTTTCCAGCATCCTCGCTTTCTTTAAAATTTTTGTTTGCTGTGTTTTGGTATATGTTTTAGGCAGTCATGTTTATCTTTCACCAGGACCTGGTGGCTGAATTTTCATGACAGAGCTCCTTAAAGTTAAAGCCTTCTGTCAGTTACTATATTGCAATACTCAGTTATCTTCTGCAGGAGTCAGCAGTCAGGTATTTAACACAGGGTTTGTACAGTCTTGAATTCTTGAAAAAGTCTTGTAATTTGCCAAGCAGTTTTCTAGACCTGGACAAAGTCTGGGAAAATGGTAAAAAGTTTTTTTTTTCAAAGCTACAACAAGTGCTTTATAAGTGAAATCTTTTTCGTTTTAGTCAAATCTAATCCAATCTCGACCGTACGTTTGCAGCTCATCATGAAAGAAGCTTTGTTCCTGTGTTTTTAAAGGTCTCTATTGATCACCTATTTGACAACTTGAGTCTGGAAAAAGACATTATTGTTTTGGAAAAATGTATTATAATGATAAATTTTTCCAATTTGGAAAAAGTGTTCAATTTTGGATCTGTACGAACTTTTGACTAGCAGAATTGATTTCACAGTTCTTCTGTTATTAGAATTCCTCAAAAAACATCACTTGTCCGTCGGGCAAGTTAAAAACAGAATTCACTAGCTCAATAACAAAATCTACTAGCCCCGGGCTATCGGACACTACTTTCTTTGCAAGCTGGATTATGATCCAAGGTAATTTGATCAGTTCATTGTGCATCAAAGGAACTACAAGCTGCTACTTAGCATCTGGACAGGGATACATCAGCATGTTTCATGCACTTAATGATTCATTGGTGATCAAGGATTATGAATTCTGATCCAGAACATAATATTAAAGTTAAAGGAACCCGACCATCAGAGAAGTTCAAGAAGTGCTTGAAGTTACAAATATGGCCATCTTATGCCCTGTCCACACTAACACGTTTTCATTTGAAAATGCATCATTTCCATGCGTTTCGATCGTTTAGGCCTATTAATTCCATCCACACTAATATGCTGAGCATTTTCATAAAAAATGCATAGATTTGAAAATGCTCTTCAAAGGGGATCAAAATGAAAATGCATAATAATTTATACATGCATATCGTGGTAGTGGAGTTTGACTAATAGTCGCGGGTCCAAAGTCGCGGTCGCGGGTCCAAAGTCGCGGTCGCGGGTCCAAAGTCGCGGTCGCGGGTTCAAAGTCGCGGTCGTGGGTCCAATGTCGCGGGTCCAATTTGGAGTTCGAGGTAATTGAATGAAAACGACTGATATGAAAAAAATATAAAGGGAAAAAAATCGTTTTTATGCATGATACTCTACGGTAGCCAATTTACAGGTTACGGATGTTAGAGTCAACAAAATAATGTCTCAAGAAAAGACCTAAAAGAAAAAGTTGGCCGACTTTTGTGTTCACCGCAAGTTCATTTTGTTTTCTTTCTATCGGGCCCAGTTATGTATAAATTCAGCTTTGAATGTACTTATGCATAGCAGTATCTGATAAAAAATGTTACCATGAGTTACCATTGTTTTCTTCTTGTCTATGAATCTCTCACAAATGCTTAGGGGTGCATTCACTGAAAAATGTGCGATACACTTCATAGACTATAAATTATAAACGTTACAACAACCTAAAACCTTTTTTAAAAAAGGCTAACTCGGGCTCGAAAAGCTACGAGTCTGTCGGTAGAAGAAAC